AAGGGACATTTCGTTATGAAATGCAGAGGGCCTGGAACACCTTGCCTGAATGAATACAGGGCTATTCTACTTCTACACGTTTCTGGGAGAACCTACTGGCAGAAAAAAAACCCAAACCAAGTGACCATATCCATACCTGGTCAAAGTCCTGGGGTCAGGGCTGGTGAGCAGGAAAAAAGGTCTTCGCCCCGGAAATGTGAAGGGCAGGTACCATCAATCAAACCCCCTCTAAAGAACCTTATAAAATATGATTCCATAAAATACGATTCTAAATGAGTATAAAAAATGATTCTAAAAGGTATTCCACCATGAAGGGTCTATCAGGATGATGCAGTTTGCTCTAACAGACCACAAAATTAACTGGCCAGTTGGACAAAGTGGTCAGCACTGTCCATCCAGTTAGAACGATACTCTTGGCTTAGTCAATGGTAAACTATCCTTCTTGATGATACTCAGCCAACAGATATAATTACTTAAAAATTTTCAAAGTATTTCTCCATAAATTCTGTACGTCTTGAGAATAGAATGTTTTAGAAAATTGTTATTGAATGTGAAATGGCTTTGTTCATTTAAGTTTACTTCCCTCTGACAAGCGTTTTCCAAACTGTTCTCTGAATTTCGGTTCCGTCCAGCCTGAGATACAGGTACCTACTTTAGGGTCTGGCATACTGGAGGAGCTCCATCAATATGTGCTGCATGAGTAGGGTCTTAAGAGAAAGTAAGGGCCACCACAGAGGACATTAAGTTAACCAGAATGACATGTCTTGATTTCCCAATAAGACACATAATAGGTTTTACTGTTACAAAGACACAAGACTCTCAAGAGAGTACAGTCATACAATGCTTAATGATGGGGACATGTTTTGAGAAATGCGTTATGAGATTTCATCATTGTGTAAACATTGTAGAGTGTACTTACACAAACCTAGATAGTTCAGCCTACTACACACCTAGGCTATAGGGTACTAATCTTATGGGACCACCGTCATGTACGGGGTCTGTTGTTGACCAAAACGTTGTTATGCGGCACATGACTCTACATATTTCAGGCACTGTTCTGGGTGCCCGGGAAACTTCAGTGAATGTGGCCCTGCTAAGCGGCAAAGGCTCACAAAGGATATACAAACACGGTGAAAAAACAGAACAAAGGTTAGACTGGTTTTGCCTTAGTTCTTAGTTGCTTTTCACATACAACATAGGTTTAGAAACCAAACCCACAGGGATAAGGCTGGTCTAATAATACCTATGTCTCCAGATTCTTTGTTATTGTGCTGTAAACTGGCTGGAATTTGCACCTATACAACAAATCTTCTTGCTGAAGCACTTGCCAAACCAACTGTGATAACTGTCACACCAGGGCTCTGCTCGAGCACCTGGAATTGGACTCAGACGTTCATTGGGCATATGCTGCTTGCTTCAGTAACTGCTGTGGTTGGCTCGATTTGGGAAAATGCTTGGTGTGAGGCTGGCAGCTGACAGTGGTAGATCTCAACACAGAGGAAGTTGTCACCAATCTCAGTTTGACATAAAAATACAAATTCATAAACAAAAAACTTTAATTTAGCTTTAGATTTTGCTATGTGATAAGCCTTGGGAGGAGAGAATCTTACTATATCCAAGTATCTTGATTTTCCAATTCACCGATAGTTGGCCTACATGGCCACCATTATACTCTGGTTTCTTTACTTCTTTATTGTGGACTCAAAACCGGTTAAAAGGAACTGATGGACGTGGATTTTAAATAAGGCAGTAAGCTAAGCCATTCTAAGACAGGTGTCACATTTAGACTCCCTTCTTGAACCAGGTCATACAGGTCTAAGAAGTACTTTGCTGGCTGCCTGGACTGAAGATGCGGAACAGCACCACCTAGGCTTTTATAGACGACCTTGTATGACAACACGACTGGAATTTGGAGAGAGAATCACTGGGACAAGGGAAGAAGTTTCAGGAGACCCTTAAGTGGTTCACCTATAAACTCCAGACTTATCAAATTCTGTACTCTGATACACCCAAATGCTTCATATAATCTATAGATATTATGAGATAATACTGTATTATTAATCTTCTCTTTCACATCAAATATAGACATGAGGGAAACTGCAGGACTTTCCCAACTATCATCCTGTTCTTTCTTTTTTTTTTTTTTAAAGATTGGCACCTGAGCTAACATCAGTTGCCAGTCTTTTTTTTTTTTTTCCTTTCTTTCTTCTTCTTCTCCCCAAAGCTCCCCAGTACAGAGTTGTATATTCTAGTTGTAGGTCCTTCTGGCTCTGCTATGTGGGACGCTGCCTCAGAATGGCCTGATGAGCAGTGCCATGTCCGTGCCCAGGATCCGAAGTGGCGAAACCCTGGGCAGCTGAAGCGGAACATGCGAACTTAACCACTTGGCCATGGGGCGGCCCCACCATCCTGTTATTTCTTAGGCTTGGAGCCTTTTTGGAAAATTTGTATCTTTGGGAAGAAGGATACCCTTCGGAAAAATTGTGCAGGCTACACTTTATAATTCACCATGAATCGAAAAATTAGTTTTGCAAGAATAGTATCCATCTGCAAAATAAAATGTAAGCGGTCCCGGTGCAAAACAATTCTCCATAGAGGAACTGACTAGCAAACTTAAGCTTTTTAAGTGCTTCTCAAGCTTAAAACTGCACTGTGACAAGACCCTTTGTACCCACAATTCTGGTTTAGATTTGAGAAATAAACTTTTTCATTTCTAACAAGCGCCAGATGATGCTGTTGCTGCTGGTCTGGGGATAACATGGAAGACCAAGGTGATGGGGCGCCATTCGAGCCCAGGCAGATTCAGAGCCTTGATAACAAGCCAGCAAGCTAGCAGAGAGGTCGCCCAATCAGGAAAGAAAACACACCTGAGTTCCTCTTACAATCCTGTACTCTGTCTTCATGGCTAAACCGAAGGCTTACCAGCGAGATTTTAATGAGCTTCCCAGAGTCTTGCTCCTTAAAATGCAGCCCAGCCATCACTTTTCTCAAATTAAAATATAGGTTCAATACAATCTCAACCATCATTCCAAATAGATTATTTTAGAAATAGGCTAAATTATTCCAAGGTTATTCTCGAATACACAACGACGACAAAGGAAAAAATGGATGTGGGATGGGACAAGGGAGACTAGCAAGGGGAGTGCAACTATGTGATTCGAGTCATCACGCATCACCAGGGAATAAATGGTGTTGGACAATTATTCAGCTATTTGACCAACAAAAAAGCTCATTCGTTCTAGATGAATGAAAATTAAAACATCAACAAAAACTCTTAAAAAATACAAAAACTCTACAGGAGAGGTGAATATTCATCAAATCCAGGGTGAAGATTACACTTAGGAGAATCAGAAGAAACAAAAGGGAAAAAAATTGATAGCTCACACTGTGGGTATGTATCCTCTGTGTTAAGACCAACCAGAAAAATGTTTCCATTAATTATGACAAAGTTAACAAGAACAATACAATACAGAAATTAGCCTAGAATCCTTCTCCAAAAGACAAGAGAACAGTGTGTGTAGAACTTCCGGGATGTAGACCCGTTTGCTTTCTTAAGTGAATACCTGTCCCCTCTCTACCAGTTTATTCTTCCTCAACATACATTCTAGTCTCTCACATTAAAACAACAAAAATAATAAGAACCAGAGTCCCTGACCATATCCTTCTTCTGCTACCAACTCATTTTTCTATTCCTTTGCTCATTACCACAACACAACTTCTCCAGATTGTCCTACTTCCTCACCTCCCTTTCAAAGCAGTCCAGTCTGGCATCTACCTACCTCTCCATTAAAACAGCTCTCATAAAAATCCATGACCTCCAGTGTGTCTTCATCTTATTCCACCTCTCATCACCACCTGACACTCACCTTCATGAAACATTCTCTTCCTTAGCTTCCATCCCACTTAACCGGCTGTTTTCTTCTTAATTGCCGTTTTTGGTGTCTCCTCTACCCAAACTCTAAAGTTGCACTACTCATAAGATAGCCCACCAGTCACATGTCACTATGGAGTACTTGAAATGTGGCTACCGTGTGAGATGTGCTGTAAAACACACTGGATTTTGAAGCTTTAGTATGAAAAAAGATGGTATCAAGTCTGAAGTGTTAGTGGGGACTTTGAAGACTTAGAACATGTTGAAACGTTTTGGATGTGAGTTAAATAAAATATATTCATTTCACCTGTTTCATTTTACTTTATGACGTGGCTACCAGAACATTCAACTACATATGTGGCTTATATTATATTTCTATTGGGCAGTGCTGCTCTAAACGCCAGAAGTATCTTAGGGTTTGGTCTTGTTCCTCCCTCAGCCTTGCTATCACAGTAAACAGTACCATCATCCACATAATGGCTCCTATTAGGGGCACAGAAATGTAGACAGTAGTATTTTCAGACAATGGGAGTGTCCGCAGGGTAGGATTCCCAGATGAGACAGAATTGTTTGGTGGAGCAAATAAATAAGTGGAGACTGAGCAAGACTGGTCCAGCAGTACAGGTTTTCAGACTGGGTGATAACTAAACCCTGAAGAACTCAGCTCTGCCCATTAAATTTTCTAGTTTTGCCTCTGGAATGTGTGTCTAGTTTAAGACATCTTCAACTGGCTCTCTTGTTTTCCTTTCTCTTTTTTTTTAAAGACCATAGTTTGTAACGAAGACTAAGGCACATCATAAAATTCTAGTCAATCTCTGATGGTTTGAGAATACAAGCACTGATCCTCTAAAGAGGGTTAATTAAAAAACATGCTGCCTCGGACTAAAACTTGTTGGAAATAATGCCAATTGCATCAATTCAACAGAGAAATTGAAATCTGGCACCAGGAAGAAACATAGCAACAGAATCTGTCCCACTTGTTATTAAGAAAAACGAAGTTGAGAAAATTCAAAGACTTGATTCATTTAGATCTTAAAGCAAAACAAAAAAACGGGTTTTAAAAAGGTATGCATGTAACTCAAGATTCAACATGAAGATTTAGAACTCATTAAGTATCAAAACTACTAACCATTCTATAAGCACTCCTTTCAAGACGTTGACCATCTTTTCCCAGTCAGAAGGTGGAGACGACCTTAAAAATGCTAACAAAAGGAACAAGGTGACATAAACTTCAAAAACATCAACTTAAATATACTTTGGTGATTTACCTCTCAAACGAGGTGAAACATTAAATGTCAGGAGTAAAGATTTAAGTTTATGAAAGAAAACATAGATATTCTGATCTTTTAACAAAGTTAAAATGAGTCTACTTAGAATACTAATAAAGCATAAATCTTACTTGCAAACAAATACTACCCACTGTCAGTCCCAACGAAGGCCTAACTCCACAACGGTGTGCCCAACCCAGGTTTAAAACACGTGCATCAGTCAAAATATTTCTTTCCCCACCCAAAAATATAATAAAAGATAAGATCCTGGGAGGCAGGAATTACAGAATGGTAGCTGTGAAAAGGGTCTTAAAAATTATATAGCGAGTCGGACCATCTTGTTTTTCAGATGAGATTGAACCAAGAGATTAAGCGGCAGCTCCGGGTCAAAAAACCCCGAAAGGGCACAAGGCAAGTCGACTTCCCGATATTGCGTTCCTTTAGCAAGCAATCACGTCCCCAGAGGATGTGGCTTCTGTAGGAAGGGAACCCATCCAGCGCTCGCCAAGGTGACCCTTAAACTTCCAGACCTGGGCGCGGGGCAACGCCTCCCCCAGGGAAGCGCACGGTTCAATGACCGCCGGGCGACCATGCGGGACACCGCCCCACACCCTGGCACCTGAAGGACAGGCTTCTGAGTCACTCCCCGCGCCGCCTTTCTTCGGGACCCCTCCGCCTTCCACATACCCGACTCTCCCCTCTCCAAGAACCGACGCCACGTACCTGCGCCCACACACCCAGCAGCTCCTCGGCGTCGCCGTCTAAGTGCGCCTGCGCCGGCTACGTCATCGCGTCAGCGCCGCTCTTGTGGGTGGAGCGCGCCGGCGGGAGGCGGGGCGTGGGCTGGGCCGAGGGGGCGGGGCGGGCCGGGGGCGGGGTCACGTGCCGCCAGTCACCGGCTGGAGGGCGCGGGGTGGGCTCCCGGCCGAACGGGTCCGCGGTGAGCGGCGGGGGGCGGGCCGAGTCCGCGTGCCGGCAGGTAGGAAGAGAAGGGTGGGCGAGGGCGCCGGCGAGGGGCGTGGGGAGGGCGGCGACGGGCCGCGGCCGGGACCCCCCCGCGAGGTCGCGCGGCCCCCGACTGGCCCGCTGACCCGCCGCCGGGTGTGAGGGCCGCTCGCTCAGCCTCGGCGGCCCGGCTCTTCTTCCCCGGTCGCCGCCCTTCTCTGGGTCCTCTGCGAGGCGCAGAGAGCACCTGCCGGTCCCATGAGTGCGGGCGGGGTAGTCACGGAAAGATGATGACCAGGAGGAGGAAGGACTCTCCCCATTCAAATCGGAAGCTTTCAGACCGTGGCTTGTAGCTCTGCCCCGGGAGGTCGGGTAGGTGGGATGCTGATTAGGTCTCTGAGCCCGGTCATTTTAACGCGAAAGATCCCAGGGGGTTCTAAAATTAATCCCTTTCCCAAATTGTGACCTGTAGTCTCCTAGAGCTCTCTGTTTCTCCGATTCTTTTTACCAGTGGAGATAGGACGTTCTTGCTTTCTGTACGTTAAATTGTGCTTCCCCAGTTGAGCTTCTGATTGTTACTTCGTGTGTTCACGTGATCTACGAACCTAGCTCTTCCATTTATTTCCCTGTTTATCTCTCAGTCTTTTTCCTCCCGTTGGTTTCCATATTGTTGAGCACGCTCTCTCGCTCCCTTTAATCTGCCTCAAGTCTAGTTCCTCCCAAGTATCTTTTCTTTTTCTTCTTCTTGAATGTATTCTTCTCCTTGAGCGTCTCTGCAGTTCCCTTACGTGGAACCTCCCACTCTCTGGCTCCAGGTGCTGGCCTGGTGCCTGCATGTTAATGACCTGTGAGTACTCTCCACGCCACCTCTCAAACTGAACCAGTTCTCATTTCACCCTCATTTCAAAACCTGCTTTTCTTCCTGTGTTTTTCCGAATCGTCCAGATTTAAAACCGCCGTCCATTTATTCTACAAACATTTTTCTGCACCTAATATGTGCCAGATACTATGCTAGACACTGGAGATACAATGGTGAACAAGCAGCTAATTATAGTGGAGGAGAGAGGCGCTAAAATGAATTAGCAAGAAGGTATCAGATGGTGATGTGATAAAGAGACAAAGGGCTGCTTTGGTTCTGGGGGTGTCAGAAACGGCCTTCAGTTCAGGCGGATTTCTAAATTAAAAAAAATTGCCTTCTATACACCAGCAATAACGAGCTAGGAATTTTAATAATAAAGATACTGTTCATAACAGCATTCAAAACTAAAAGTATCTAGAAATAGATCAAATTAAAGCTGTATAATCTTTTATGGAAAAAATTATTATGCTCTATTGAAACACAAGAAAGAAAACTCAAGAAATGGAGAGCTATACTGTGTTTATGGGTGGGCAGACTCAATCTCATAGAGATGTCAGTTTTCCCCAATTCTACATATTCAGTGCAATTCCAATTGAAATTGCTATATGGTTTTTCATGGAATTTGAAACGCTGAACCTAAAATATATTTGGAAAGGTAAAGGACCAAGAATAGCTAAGTCAATTTCGAAGAAAATGAAAATCCCTTTTTCTCAGATAGCAAAACTTAATATAAAGCCGTAATAATTAAGACTGTTGTTTTAATTACTAGTATTGGTTCAGGGATAGAAAAGTAGACTCGGAACAGAATAGAAAGCCTAGAACCACACCCACCTACCTATGAGCTTAGTATACTACTAAGTGGTATTATAAAGCAGGAGGAAAAGCATAGAGTGTTCAATAAATGATACTGAGGTATGTGATATCCATATAGAATAAAGACAAGATTAGACCCCTACTTCACACCATTCACAACAGTAATTCCAAATGGATTAAAGACCTAAGTGTGAAAGGTACATCTGTAAAACATTTAGAAAAAACCATAGAAGGCTATGTTGTCTCCAGGAAAGATTTGTTTGTTTTATTAGGGTTAAATACATATAACATAAAATTTACCACATTTTAACCACTTTTAGATGTACAGTTCAGTGGGATTCATATTGCTGGGCAGCTGTCAGTTTATCTCCAGAACTTTTTCCTCTCTCTGGGAGGGATTTCTTAAGTTACAGAAAGCACCACTGAGGATGCTGTTGCATTACTCCAAATGGGAGATGACGGTGGTGACTTGAACTAGAGTGGTAACAGTGAAGATGGAGACAAGTGCATGGATTTGGGATATGTTTTGATGGCAGAGAACAGGAATTCTAAATGGTTTGGATATGAGGTGAGGTGAAAACAAGGAATCAAGGGCAACATCTTAAGTTTTTTGCTTGTGCTATGAGGTATGAGATTGTTTAGTTTTATCATCAAAAACTATTTACCATTTGTTTGGTAGTGATGGGGAAGATGAGTGGAGGAAGAGTTTGGGGAGAAGAAAATAAAGAATTCTGTTTTGGATAGTTAAGTTGGAAAGGCCTGTTTGATATCCAAGTGGAAATGTTCTACAAGCTGTTGGATAGATGAGTCTGGAAAGGTTGTGGCTGGAGGTACAACTTTGGGATCACTGGCATATAGATATTTAAATATCTTAGATATTTAGACCTTAGATCTATAGATCTTAGATCTATAGATATTTAAATATCTTAAATATGTTAGAATTAGATTCAGCTGTGTTACACAGAAAAATATAAGATAATAATGGCTTAAATATGCATATCATTCCATGCGTAGGCAGGCCACAGCTGGTATGGCAGCAGCTCCGTGATCATCAGGGACTCAGGCTCTGTCTTGCTCTTCTGCCATCATTAGCATGCTGCCTCATGGTTGAGATGGACCCTTTAATTCCAACTGCCACCTGCTCATGGGAAGACGGAAGAAGAAAGAGGAAAGATTGAAGAAAGGCACATACTGTTCTCTTTAAGGACACTTCTCAGAAGTTGCACATGACACGTCCACTTACAACCCATTAACCAGTACTTAGTGACCGCACTTAACTAGAAAGAAAAACAGATGATGTCGTCTTTATTCAGTTATCTTTGTGCCCAGTTGCAATTCAGGGGTTTTATTAATAAGAATGAAGAGAAGAATGGATGTTTAGTTTCAGTCTAGTTTCTTCTCCAACCAGGGCAACGAAGCTACCATTATGAAGCCTCTAGTACCTCCAGAGCCTTGTTAAATTTAGTGGAATTATTGAATATTTGTTTTATTTGGTACTCACAGTCTCTCCTTTTCTACTTTCTGTGTCCTCAGTCTGCTTCTCAGAATTTCTCTTCTGTTCTCTACATAAAATTAGTGTTTCAGACTTAATGCAGTCACAATCTTAATCTAAAGACTTTATAAAAATAGAAATTGACAAGCTGACTTTAAAATTATGTGGAAGTGCCAAAGACCTAGAATAGTTAATCTTGAAAAGGAAGAACAAATCCAGGGAACTCACACTAGCTAGCTGCAAGATTAATTATAAAACCACAATATCAATACAGCATGGTATTTATATTGGGATAGACAAATAGATCAATGGAATGGAATACAGTCCAGAAAGAGGCCCCTACTTCCATAGTCAATTGATTTTTGACCAAGGCACAAAGTCAGTTCAATGAGGAATGGAAAATCTTTTCAACAAATGATGCTGGAACTATCAGATATCCATGTAGGAAAAGAAAATGAACCTCGACTCCTGTCTTACGCAATACACAAAAATTAATTTGAGATGGATCATAGACATAAATGTAAAATCTAAAGCAAAAATGTGTTTTAGACAAACTTTCTCATAGGAGAATATCTGTCACTTTGACATAGGCAACAGTTTCTAAGGCAGGACATAGAATGCAATAACCATAAAAGAAAAATTTTGATTAAAGATGTTATGAAAATTAAAACTTCTGTTCATCAAGAGATGCCTTTAAGAAATTGAATAGGCAAGTCCCAGACTAGGAGAAGATATTTGCAGTATGTGTATGTACCTATATCTGATAAAAGATTTATTTCCAACGTATAAAGAACTGGTAACTCATTTAAAAAACACAAACAATCCAATTTAAAAAATAGGCAAAAGAAGGGACTCCACAGAAAAATAAATGTAAATGGCTAACGTGAATATTAAAAAGTGCTCAACATTGGTTTTCTGGGAATAGCAAAATAAAACCACAATGAGATACTACCATGTACCCCCATTTAGGCTGAAATCAAACAGGCTGACAGCATCAAATATTGGGAGGATGTGGAACAACTGGAACTTCGTACTCCAGCATTACTGGTTGCAGGGTGAAATGGTACAATCATATTGGAAAAATATTTGGCAGTATCTTATAAAGTTAAACATAAATCTGCCCTGTGACCCAGCAATTCCACTTGTGGGTATTTACCCAAGAGAAATGAAAACATATGTCTGCAAAAAGACTTGCATCGGAATGCTCACAGTGGCCTGTGGTAGGCAGAAAAACGGCCCCCTAAAGATGTCCATGGCCCAATCCCTGGATCCTGTGAATGTGTTACATGACATGGCAGAAGGGACTTTGCAGATGGAATTAAGGTTACACATCTTAAGGTGGGGAGATTATTTTAGATGATCCGGGAGAGCCTAGTGTAATCACACAGATACTTAAAAGTGGAAGAGGAAAGCAGAAGAGTCAGAGATTTGGCAATGTGAGAAGGATAAGCTTTTGCTGGTTCTGAGATGTAGGGGGCTCCCTGTAAAGACCAGAGAGAAGCCTCTGAGAGCTAAGGGTGGCACCCGGACAACAACGAGCAAGGAAACGAGGACCATAGCCCTTCACTTGCATGGAACTGAATTCTGCCAACAATCTGAATGAGCCTGGAGGTGGAATCCCCCCAGAGCTTTCAGTAAGGGATGCAGCCCCCCTAACACCTTGGATTCAGCCTTGTCAGACGTAGAGCAGAAAAAGTCTGTCTAAAATAGTGCCGAGGAATCTGCATTTGAATAATCTGCAGCTAATCCTAGGATGACATTTTGAGAAACACTGTTTTATACACCATTTGCAATAAGTTCCCCCAAAACTATGGTTTCAGTTAATAATGTGGTAATGACTCAAAAATGTGTATCTATAGCTTAGACCTCTTTGCTGAGCCCACGTAGCTTAATGGACGTCTTACGTGAGTATTTTACAAGAAGCTTAGTCTCAGCGTGTTGAAATTGGGAATTCATCTTCTTCCTCAAATCCATTTCTCTTCCTGTATTTCCCTATTTTGGTAAATGTTGTCCTTATATACTTAGTAATCCAAACCACAAACTGAGAATCATAATTGTCTCCTCCCTTTTATCCATTCCCCTCTCTTATCCAATTGTTTATTAGATTCTGTTCTCTTACTATCTTCTTAAGTCTTATCCGTTCCCTCTATCTCTTATCAATTGTTTATTAGATTTTATTCTCTCAATATCTCCTTAAGTCTGTTTCTT